TTTGGGGGCAACTTGCCAGATTTCAGGCTTTTCATCTCGCATCAACTCCTTAGGAGACCCCTAAGTCTCCATGAAGTCCCAGGAAGGTTGAGTTTCAAAAATACATTGATTTATATTCTTCAAGAGGCAATTCATGATGCAGTTTTCACAGGAACTATTTGGGATTTTCCTAAACTTAGTTASATCCCAAGAACACAGTCTTGAAGAAATGAAGATTTCCCTCAGTGTAGCCATGTCAAGGGACACAGAAAACCTACGTGGACCCTATRGAAAACTCCTCAGAATTACTGCTCTCAAAGTACCATGGGTAAGAAAAAGAAAAAAAGTAAAAGAAAAATACAGTTCACAAATGGGTTGTTTTAGCAACCTACAGTGTCCCCATTCGCTGTTTCAGAAACTGGTGGGAGAAAAACCCTGTTCATAGGAATGACATAATACCTTCTTGTGAACTCTAGATAAAAAGATTAAAGCTGTCTCTTTTACAAACTAAAATCACTATATAAATGTCTGTTTAGTTATCTTTCTTCTTATATTCTTATTATCTGATTATGCATCTTCCTATTGAAAACCACGGGCAGGTCAAGATGTTTTCATCAATGTTCCCTTTTTCATGATGCTGTCTARCAGAAAACCTTTATTACTGCCAAGCTTTCCCTTTTCTGTTGTTAAATTATCCTCCCCCTGTTTCTCTCCCTCCACACTGCAAGAGATCAGGGCTTCCTTCGCTTCAGCCAGCAGAAAGCTCCTCAAARGGCAGACATGGAGCTGATAAGAAGAGATAAGGCCACCCCATAATGCCTCTTCTGAGAATCCAATCATTAAATCCTACCCCATCCTAATCCCATTAACTCCAGAGCTAAACTGTCAAAACATCTGTGCTTCCACCTAATAAATCAGGCCGTGACGCTCCAACACGTGAAAGATTTATCAGACCCCTACAGAGTGGCCTAAGTTTATAGACCTAAGACAGCTACGGTTTTCCAGAATTCATGGGAATCCAAAGTGCAGTGCAGGAGTCAGAAACGCTTCCCATAGAGGTAGCATTGAGTGCAGGGGAAAGCTGGAGGAACGACGTGTGCTGGAGTGGTTGTTCTGACTCACTTGGAAAAACTGCATACAACTTTGGCAGGGCAAGTTGTGAGTTTCCCATGGCCTGTCCTAAAGACATTCTGTGAGTCCACAGATCTACAGGTCTATCTTTGGTCACTGGCTACAAAAGAGAAGGAGAAACAAAAAMCGAAAAGCTTTGAGAGGGAAAACACTAAATCTTTGTAAAAAAAATCCTAAATTTCTSATTTGGGGATGTTACATAATTTGCTGTGAATTTGGTCTTCCTTTCTTCATGACAAAACTGGAAAGCTTCACCAGAAACTAGCTATTCCCTGTGACATTTTTTTTGCCTTCTGATAGAAAACACTTATTAGGAAAATTAAACCCATGGAACATATTTGTCCCCACTGTTGGGCACATATGTCTGCTGTACCACAGTCACATCCTGCCAGCCTCCTTCCTTCTGTAGCTGATTTCCAAGACTTACTCATTCACTCCTCGGATTTACTGCTATGGATTCAGTCGCCGCGATCCCAGCTGGTTTTTTAAGGCACAAACACCTTTCTCTTGCACTTGTTGCCCCTTCCCTCTTCTTCCTAGGAGGACAGCACAGGGAAACGGTTGGCTGCTTGGACAACAAATTCCCAATCTACTTCAGGGATGAAAACAAGTAGATAGTTGAGCCCTATGAGCACTTGTGCTTATCCAAGGAGCAAACGGCCATGCGATGGTAGCATATGGATGGTGATTCCTCTGGAACTCGGCAGCCAATTACTTCTTGGATTTCACAAGCGAAACCCTGCTGGTCGGAGCATGTGTAGGGGAGAAGATGAACCCGAAGCTAATTAGCTCTGATTTGGGAAACCTGATGTCTTCACTGAATCCAGAGCAACGTCCTKCAAGCTCTGGAGAGCAGCCTCCGCTCCCAGGACACACTTTGGGATGGAGGGGAAACAGATGGATGGGCGTTTATGGATCTGGCAGGAGGAATGGGCAACTTCTGCTTAGGAAGGACGCTGTTTCTCAAGAAACTTGTCCTGCCAGAAGCTTCCAAAAGCTGCTGAACGTGGACTAACCTTGTTTTCTGCATGTGTGTTATTACAAATCAAAGTTGTCTTCACAAACCCCTGTGCATCTCCTCTCCCTTGTGCAGGGAAGCTGTATCCCCTTGCCACACATCCTCATGCATTATCCTTGTATTAAAGATACCGGAGAGCACAACCAGCCTGTGGTCTGCTTCTTGACATGGCTACGGGTTCAGGAACACGGCACAAAGCAATCTGTACAATCTGCAGGAGCAACAGAGAGGAAAAAAAAAAGACTTCTCAGGCTGTTGTTTTTCTATTCCACTATTAAAAGACACATGTTGTACTTTTCATTATGTCCTGTACACCTCTCATTCTTCTTAGGAGATCATAATAACATTTAATGACTGTGATAGCAAGGCTCTGTTGCACCAGGCAATGTTGAAACACGGGAAGCCACGGAGTCTGCTCCAACTGTTATTAATCTTTACTTTACCGGCGGGAAAACAAGCCTAGGAGAACGGGATGCCTCGCACTGCAATATGCAGGAGCGGAAGGAAAGAGATTTGAGCCAAGGCCTTTTGTCTGCAAGACTTTCAACTTTGCCATGCAGAAAATTTTTCCTCCCCAAAGCATGTGGGGACAGGGTGAATATGGGGGAACCCAGTTGCATTAAGGAGCTGTGGGGCAGRAGGGTTTGGGGGTAGGTTTGAAGGGGGAAAGGGAAGGGGCAACAACTGGGCAGCCCTGAAACTTTGCGGGTAATGTCTCCTAATACATCCCCCAAAATATCTGTGAGGATATAGGAGCTGCACCAAGAACCCAGGCATTTGTTAGGATCTTGAAAATATCCCTGATGAGCCAGAAATGACGAGTTTTATGTCTTTGGCTCTAGATCTGCCCAGGAAATCTGCAGCACAGGCAGTGTCCAGCCCTGGGATGCCATCCTCACTGTGTCCTTTGGTCTTGGCATTCACAGCTGGTGGAACATATGTCCCCCCAGGTTTCTTTCCTAGGTTTTTTTGGTCAAAAAAGGCCAAAGATTTCACTTAGGTGCCTGTATCATATGACAAAATTGCACCGGGATCTCCAGCACCCACCATGCAGGACGTGGGGCAGTGATTTGCACAGATCCCCATCTYGAACCAGGACAAACTGTTTAGGTGAGAAGCACTTTGACAGTCCAGCTCATGCCCCATAGACAGGAGCTGAAGTTGAACTCTGGCTTTTTATCAAAGGCTCCCTTGGGCTGTGCAGCAAAACGCAGAAACAACCTGCACTAAAGCCCCAGGAGATGTTCCTAGGGACTCCTAACCCCTAGTGAGAAAACTTAACCATGAACCAGCAGCTAATCCACGCTCCTCTCTTTGCATCCTGCCATGTTTCACAAAACAACACGCAAATATATTTATAATACAAGGTGTTTTTGACACCTCAGCCATATTTCAGCCATCAGGATCCTGCCTATCCTCCCTGCTGTTCCCTCCTTGATCTCCTTTGTGTTTTGGTGGAAGGGAGAGAAATGCAAGTTGGCAGCAGGACACTAAAATGGTAATAGAGMCAAATCTTCAATTCCTCTGTGGAATGGGGAAAGGAGGCCCAATTACTGTCTGAATTTGGGCCTCCCAGGTCATTAGTGGTCTTGGCAATAGGGCAGCAATGTGAGTTCATTTTGGGTTGCTTCAGTTATGGTGTTTTTACCCCAAATRGGTATGACAACGGTCCAAACACATTCCCCGGGGTCTCTAAGCATGGTCAGGCAGAGGGAAAGCACAGAAACCATGGCATAATATTTAATCCATGTAGGGTCTCAGCAGGGAGAATGAGTCCTGTGCTGCTTTGGTCATCTGGACTGAAAGCAGCAGCATATATGTTTTTATGCTATATTTTATATATGTGGAACATCCTGATACCTCCAGGCTTAGGAAGCCCCACTCGGATCTTCTGGGGCAGTTGATGATTTAGATTAGGAAAACTTTTGAAAGGAGAGAATCAAACTTCCTTACTATGAACTTTGCAGATATTTACATKAAAGAAAAGTCATTAATTAGATTTTCAAATATGGAAATCACCTCAACTGACAGGATTAATGAGAGGTGCAAATGAAGTGAAAGCTACTTGGCCAAAATCTTAATGCGCACCCTCACAATTATTAAAATTGAGGTTGTTCCATTTAAATGAAGACAGAACCGTCCTYCTGAGCTGCTGCCCAGGATCGGCTGTGGAAGTGAAGGTTTTTCACCTCCTAACCATGCTCCTGAGCTGATTTTTGCTTGGAAGCACTGGGGATTTGGACTTTCTCAGACTCCTCACACTGGACGTGCTGCCCTTGATGGGTTTGGCTTCACATTTTGCTAATTTACTTCATTTTTTGGCAAAACCTCTACCCTAGCAGCCTTCCCCTGCTCCTGGGAGCTCAGACCCGCTGGACGAGTCCAGCCCCGGTCCCCAAAACACTACAGTCACCCTTGTCCCCACCGCCTTGAAACTCTCAAATTTTAGGTCTCAACCCCCCAAAATTCCCATTCTCGGGCTCCGCCCCCATTCCCGCCACGCCCTCTTGACCACGCCCCCCGCGGGCCCATTGGCTCCCCCTCTCGTGGCCCCGCCCCTTCTCCTCCCCGCCCCCAAAGCGGGAAGCGGTGCGGAACGATAGTTTCGTGGTTGGGGTTGCGCCGAGCCGCGCGGAAGAGAGCTCCTTCCTGTAAGGGTAAGGGCGCGCCGAGCCCCTTTTCGACCTCTTCCGCCCTCACAGGCCAGGTGCGGGCGGGGATTGGCTCTGGGCGGGGCAGGGAGGTCACGTGGGGACGGCTCGGCAGYTCGTCACGTCCGGGGTAGGTCACGCTCGCTTCCGGCCGTTACCGCTGGTAACGCAGCGCGGCCGGGCCGGGGCTGGGCCCGGGCCCCGCCAGCCGCGCGCCCAGGGACCCCGGGCCCCAACCGCCATCGGGGGCCCCCGACCGGCTCCTTACAGCCCCCCTGAGGTACCCAGGGGTCCTCCCCGGGCCCCARCCGCCMTCGGGAGCCCCCGACCGGCCCCCTRCAGCCCCCCCGGCTCYCCTGAGGTACCCAGGGGTCCTCCCCGGGCCCCAACCGCCCCCGGGAGCTCTGRCTGGCCCTTTACAGTCTCCTTTCCTGGCTCCCCTGAGGTACCGAGGGGTCCTTGGGCCCCAGCAGCCCTCGGGATGCCCCAGCCGGCCTTTTACAGCTTCCCTGCCTCCCCTGAGGTACCGGGGAGTCCCCTGGGCCCCGGCTGCCCTCACGATCCCCCAGCCGGCCCTTTATAGTCCCTCTGACTCCCCTGAGGTACTGAGGGGTTCCCTGGGTCCCAGCTGCCCTCTTTAATGCCCCTCTCTGGCACTGAGGGGCTCTTGGCGCTGCCTCTCCCTCTGTCAAGCACCAAGGGGCTCCCCCAGCTGCCCCGCTCTGGGTGCTGGGCACCCTTCCATCTCCCCATTGGCATCCCTGGGCTCAGAGCTGTGTCAGCCCTCCCTGAAGTGGCGGCTGTGGCGCTTGCTGCCCGTTTCCAGCCTCTTCTCCTCACCCAGGGACCCTCCACTGGAATTTCTGCTCCCTGAATGCACTTTCTCTTTTCTTGTCCCTTCTCCCCACGTTAATTTCGTCATTTTCCCCCTTGTCCGCCCTCATAGGAATAGGGGAGGCTGTTCCCAACAGCGCAGCYGACCTTAGGTGACGACTCTGCTTGTCTTTGGCATCTGACAGGGCTTCCTGCCGGGTTACAGAGGGGTCCCCACCATCCTGKCCCTGTTGGTGCTGCTAAGGGCTCCTGTATCTCCTAGCTGGTGTCAGACGAGGGCCTCCCGGGCCCGTTGTCCTCACTAGGAAACATGGAGTTTGCGGAGCTCATCAAGACCCCCCGCGTGGACAACGTGGTGCTGCACCGCCCGTTCTACCCCGCCGTGGAGGGGACGCTGTGTCTCACTGGCCATCACCTCATTCTCTCCTCGCGGCGCCAGGACGACGCTGAGGAGCTCTGGCTGCTGCACTCCAATATCGACTCCATTGAGAAAAGGTGCGTGTCCAAATTCCCCCTTTCTGTACCTAGTTCTTGTGACGAGATGAAAAGTGCCAGATTCGCGCTGTGGCCTCTCCAAATTCAAGTCTGGGCAGGAGAGTTGCCTGATCATCTAGAACATGGGTTGGGATATTGTCTTGGACAGACAAATTCTCATTCCTTTTGGAAACTGATAAATGGCTGTTGCATYTTAAGACTTTTTTCTTTTAAAAGGTAGACCTTCTATATTTAAATTTCCTCTGTCTTTTGTTAGTAGTACTATTTCCTCAGTAGCCCTTAAAACACTTAATAAGGGATATATCATTATTGCTGTTCCTCAGAGCTGAAGCTGAAGTTGCTGTTAAGCAGTTTTCCAAGTGTCTTCCAGCAAAACTGATGGCAGAGCCAGAAGTCAACTTCAGATCTACTTGGTCCCCGATCATTCTTCTCTTGCTGGAGAGTTTCAGATCTTTTTTACCAGTTTCCACAAGCACTTGTAGAGTCATACAGCAGCAGGAGAAGCCAGAAGGAGGCAGCAAAACTGAGTGGTGACTACTGCACCTGAGAGTCATTTCTATTCTTGCCCTCCTCCTTGTGTCAGAGAGGCTGCAGAGATGAGTCTCCCAACTTTCTGATGGGCTGGAAATGTCATCTTGCAATTGTATTCTGCGTGTTCACTTTAACCCTTTACTTATTTTAGTCATAGTTATTTTTTTTCTACAAAGTCAAACYTTGTTTTTCTCACCCTTTAAAGTGTTTTGGAAGAAATATTTTCCTCTCTTACTACCAAGGAAGGAAATCTAAACAGCAGCAGTTAATATCAGGCTCCCTCAGACTCTAAGAACGGGAGAAGTCTCAGGCACTAGTAAAATTTGCTCCTGTGCTGCTGTTTTCTTTTAGTATTTCTAAAACAAACCTAGCACTTGGCCAAAGGATGGAATCTTAAAGGATCTTAAAAYTATTCCCATCCTGTACAACTCACTCATCAGAGTGCTTTGGTGCTGTCCTCTTTATCAGTTGTACTAGCCACAGTTGTATTTTGAATATAATCACAGACAAATGTCATTATTTTTTGAGCCTAGCTATAATAAGCATGCAACTTAAAACATTCCTTACTCATTTGATATTAAGTTATGTTACCAGAGAGTAAAGAAATGGTAGTTCAGCACGTGGTTTSTAATAGTTATGTCTGCAAACAGTCTTAGGTGTTATTGCTGGCCCTCTAGAAGGTCCTTCGAATAGTTATCTCTGTCCTTGAGAATTCCCTCGTGCAAATACAGTTGCAGTTAAAGAAAAAACAAAMAAAGATGTTTTAGTTGAATGTTGGAGGGACTGGAGTAACAAGGCTCTGATAGGAACTTTTAGTGTTGCACTTAGCCAGATTATTGGTGCAGAACAACTCTAACATAACTCTAACTACGGGCTCAAAAACTACTTTCTCACTTCTAGTACAAAATAATATTTTCCTATAACTGTCAAGTGATTGTCAAACTGTTTAATTTTTAAGCAGCTTGTATATGATCTGTAGGGTTTGTTGGAGATCTAATGTGAAGCTTAAAGAAATGGAGGAAGAGGAGACATGAAGCAACTCAGAGCTTGGTAATCAGTTCTGCTCTTAGGGCATGTATGCTCTCTGCTTATATATTCATGGTCTAGCTACAGGTTGAGTTTAGAGGGAATTTAAAGGCCTTTAGTCCTTTAAAGGCTAATCTTCAAAGGACTTGGTTCCTCGGTTTTTGTCAGATTCTGCTCTTCCATCACCCTCTGGTGGTGCTTGCACCATTGTGGCCTAGGAGGAGACTTGGCTGCTTTTTCTTAGTTCTTTGCTTTACCAACCCACATAATTTCTGTGAACACTAGTGATTAGTTAGCATGAAGAAGACACTCATTTCTTTCTGTTTTGACATTGTTCTTCCAGATATGTGKTAAAGAATGGAGAGAGCATCTCTGTGTTGTTCTTGTTGTGGCAGTGGTTTGGGGTTTTGTTTTTACTGAAACAAAACATTTCTGGGTTGAGTTACATTATGACCATGACCAGTACTTCTCGGAGACTTGCATAAGAAACAGTTTGATGGCATTACAGGTGTTGGAGAGCAAGCTTTTCTTTTTATTTTTCTAAAAGACAAGGGAATGTGGTGTAGCCAGATTGAGATGCTTTTTTAAAAAAACTCAAACATTTTTAGCCATTTGAAGTTTCAAGACATCTGCTGAATCTGGAAGCTTCCAACTGAGTCTTCCAGTGTCATCAGAAAGTAGCTGAATCTTTTCTTTCATATTTTAAGCATAGCAAAATAGTGAGGAAAACCTCTCTCTGTTTTCTAATGCTTCCACTCACTGCCATATCACAAGGATAGAATAAAAAGAGCACAGCACAAGTTACAAATAGTCAAATAGATTTCCCCTTCCCTTCTCTCCCTCCGGATGCATGGTACTGCACATGAATTAGTACTAATGGAATTTTGCCTTGTAGGCTATCGCATCTCCATCATACTTTAGAAGATCATGTTCCTAAGAGACTCTTTCTTCATCTCTTGCTGTAGGTTTGTGGGCTCCCTGGGTACCATCATCATAAAATGTAAAGATCTGCGCATTATTCAGCTGGATATACCTGGAATGGAGGAGTGCTTGAACATTGCTAGCTCTATTGAGGTAAGAATTCATACTGATATATAGCTCAGGTGAACACTATGCAAGATGTGCTCACTTGGGCCTGTGCAGCATTCAATTTTCTCATTTTTTTGCTGCACTGTTGTTCTGTGTAGCCTCTGTGAGTGATGCTGTGCGGAAAAATCTACAGGAAGCAGTAGAAACTTAAGTGGCATTTAAAAAAGCAGATCATATTGTGTGACTGTTAAACTACACTGCATCTAACTGTTGGTCATTCAGCGTATTAAACAGTGCTCTTTCCTTCCCCACCCCAGGTAAAACTGTTTATAATCTCAGAGTAACTGTTGCCTACAATTCTGTTGACGGATTCATCTCACGTGTAGAAAATGAAAAGGTTTCAACCTTTTTTCCTTTGAAAAGCATTGTGATTCAGCAGCAGTAATTTGTTTTATGTGGCAACAGAGGGTGGCAGACAAAATCAAGGACATGCTGCAGCAGGCCAGGACATGCTGCCAGGGTGATGTTGAAGGCTTTGCTGCCTGTCACTATTTTCTAGTGTTTTGCTTTCTGCAACTGGACAAGTGCTAGTACTCTGAAAGCAGCTGATATATTCTGCTTCTGATGGGCTGGAGCTCACTGTACCAAATGCTCCTTTTGACAGAAGCAGAGCACTGTGGTGTTCTGGGAAAGCTGGCTCATCTGCTCTGTGCACRTCTCTGCAGATACAGTACTGGGACAAAAGTGCATCAAAATAGCAGGGAAATCTTCTGTAATGGCTCTATAAGCTAAAAAATAGAGCGTCTTAAATACCTATTCATAGACCTGTGGCTTAAATTTGCATTTGCAATGTTACAAGAAGGCACCATCTTGCTTTGGAAATGAATAGCAATTTGAAGGAATTAACTGACTTCCTAAGCTTCCTGACTAACTAAACTAAACTCCCTCTTCTACTCAGGCTCTTTCCACCTTGGATTCTGTCACYCTCATGTATCCGTTTTTCTACCGGCCCATGTTTGAAGTTGTTGAAGATGGTTGGCGCTCTTTCCTACCCGAGCAAGAATTCGAGCTTCTCAGTTCACTGGTAAGCTGGGTCTCAAGGGTTTGCACGAACATTCAGGTATCCTGGAACTATTACGTAATGGCAGATAAAAGAAAATGCATTTGTGCAAATAGTTTTTTGAAGCATTTCACTCAGCAATGTCTGGGATGGAAATACTGGAATCTGGGATGGAAATCCTGGATGGTAAAACTACAGCAACCTGGGTGGAAGTTGAGTGTAGTTGAAATACCTATGTGCTTAAAGAGTGAGTATTTCTATGTGTATGTTAACTATACCTAGTTGGTACTTGTGTGACACCATAGGCAAGGGCATCTATAAGGGAGCTTTGTGAAAGTTACTGGAAAGAGAAGAAGGTGGGAAATGTTTTCACCCTGCGGAGATGGCTCTCTCATCGTAAGAGTGAGGAGTTTAGGCCTATTTAAAATGGCCAGGGACTTCATAGCTCTATAGGAGGATGASAGTAGATACAAATTGCAGTTCCAAGTATTCTTTAGTTCATAATAGGAAAATGTTGAGAGGATTTAGCAAGGGAAATTTCCAGTTTTACTCTGCTAGGTGTTCTCAGCTTATGCTGACATCATCTCAGTGCCTATGGGGCAGAAATCCTATGAAATTACAGGTTGTGTCTTGTCTGTCACACTTGTTTTTAGGATGCTGAACTTGATGCAGGAGWATTCTCAGTTGTGGGGTCCTATCTGCTTTAATAGTGGCTTAGCTTGGCTTCTCCTATTGCTTCAAGCCTCTGTTACATTAAATAGTGCCCTKGCTGCATTTTTTTTTTTAGGTTTCTGAGACCACATTCATTAGCAAATCATCAAAAAAATTGATTTATCTGCAACCCAACCTGTGTGCATTTGTTACTTCCTGTATATGACTAATAACTGAACAATTTAATCAGTTTGATCAGATTCTTCTGATAAAAATCTCTTAAAAAAACAAAATTTAGAAAAGACATTTCTACTTTTGCCTCGTCATTAGAATGCTCTCAAACCTTTGCCTCCTGTTGTGAGAAATCCTAAAACCTGCTCTTTTTTAAAACTAGCACCACAGCTTCCATTGCATCTCAGTTGATTAATTCAAACTCATGATCAGAGCACTCCTTTTTTGGAGGCAAAGCAGCAGATACTTTCTCAGCTCAGCAGGAGAAGCTTGCAGGCGTTTCAATGAGAATCAAAAGGCAGGCAGCTGAAAGCTGCTATTTGGGTGGGAGTGGAGGGAGTGTGAGAGCAACAGAAGGGGAATCCCTCAGCGCTAAATAAAGTGCAGAAGAGGGTTCTGCTTCCATTCCTGTTTTGATTTCTGTGCCAAGCTGAAATCCTTTCTAGATTTCAGGAATCTAATCACTTCTGACTGTTGTATTTACCACCACGCAATGCAGCTGCTAGCACTAATCCATTGATTTGCTATTTTTTTATATACAGGTTTGAAAGTGCAGTGGCAGCTTATTTGTGGTTCTCTTGGTTTTTTGAATGTGCACTCTTTGGAAGACTTGTATTTAAAAAAAATATGTATTTTATAGTGACAGATTTCAAGGGTAATAATTCATTCTTTTCAATATGCTCGTCTAACAGCTGTTGATTAATTCTTGGCTTTTACGCCAAAAACTTCAGCTGCAGCTCAAGAARTAGTGACAAAAGCCACGTTCAAGTGATTTACTTTTCCTGAGCAGCAGCTAAAAATACTGTTGACCAAATATTGCTTGTTCTGTAATTACACTTCCTTATGTGACAGGCTGGAGTAAGTGAATGGCTGATTAAATTTTTCTCTCTCTGAAAAGTCAAATGAGTGCAATCCAGAAGGTTACCTCCCTCTCCATTAAATCATCYGTCGGCATCTGCTGTGTTTTGCCTTCCTCAATATGGTAACAGCTTGTCGAGAACTGCCTTTCACCCCCAGTGCACCTCTAGTATGTTATAAATTCCACGTTTGTGTGTTGCATGTGAGTTTTAAAGCTCTGAGCCCRTTTCTAGAACAGCAAAGTAAAAACTACAAAGAAGTTATTTAGCTTTCTACCATAGTATAGATACCAGTAAGTAATCATACGTTATAATTAAAATATTTATAAGGGCTTTTCTCAAGCATCTAGTCCTTGACTTGCTGTTCAAATAAATCCAGTGTTTCAATAGACAGTGACATTTTTCCACTTGCAAATCTATGGAATATTTAGCTGATACTTTACATAAATGTCACAGGAATGGAGTAAAAGTTGCAGAGTCTTTTGGCTCCAAATGACTGCGCTGTGAGATGATATTTTAAAGATACCATTGACAAATAGAGGAGTGGTGCAGGAGATGCACAGTACAGTTAATATTTKCTCATCCAGCTCATGATTTGTTTATTTTTTTCATGAAGCACTAGGTGGTGCCTGTGATTCAGGGTGGTTACAAACATCCCAGGTGCAATTTGTATAGAAACTTTATTCCTCACTGCACTATTGCATAACTGAGTGGTTAAATGGAATTACAGAGTATATGCACTGGGTTTCCTATTTTCTGAGGAGTCAGAAGATTTAACAGGTCAGGATGGAGAGATTTCCCTCCTGTCAACTTCTACAACTGAGGGCTGTTAACAGAATGTTATAAATTGTGGAAATTGAGTTTAATCTTCAATTTATGGGAAGTTTATGATCCTGAGGAAGAGTTTGAGCAATAGCTGTGTCATTAACACGGAAGTATTTCATTGCCACCGAATTAAATTTCCTTATTCTCTGTATTTTTGTAATATTATCTATGCAGGACAGAGCTTAGGGCTCTGGCCATTTTAACTCCGCTTTATGTAGTATCTTAGAGCTTCTCAAAAATAGCTGAATTTTCTGTTTCTGTGCTCAGCTTGCAATGGCAGGAACAGCCCGTGTTTTACTGAAGAGCATCAGTCTTTGCCTGTGTCTCTCTTTGTGCTCCTGGTCTATGTGCAATCTGTTACTAACAGGGCTTGCTGCCTCCTGCCTGCTCCTTGGTAATAGCTTATGTCATTGCTGCTTTGCAAGCATCTTCCAGATGCCTGCTGGTGTCTTGRCTTATCTTGAAGGCTTCTTAGTGAAGCTTGAATTCCTTTACATTAATTTCTTGAGAGGCTTTTTTCGTTTTTTTGGTATTGTAAGTTTGGGGAGGAGAATAACTTACTGTAGCCTTCCAGGTGCATTTGAAAAATCAGTATCTCTAGCCAAATTCTTGTCCTAGAATGCACTTTTCTTGTCCTAGAAAAGTGCAAACATGAGAAATGGTAAATCTTGTGCCCTGTGTGAAATGGGTTTTTACTCTCCATCCATTCTCCATATTTACTTCCTCCATCAAGTTTTCTCCCTCTCCACAATCCTTTGCTGCTGCCTACCTGAGCTTGAATTTAGTATTTTTTGTTTTTTTTCTRTAGGCCTAAAGTACAGTTCTCTTTTGCTGTGAGGAGCAAGAAACGTTAACTTTGCCCTTTGAGTTTCATTTTGCGTGATTTTAGTTAATCTCTAAGGATGAARCCTACTTTTCTTTTCCTGACATCCTTGCTTCTTCCTGTAGCTGCATCTCATGCTGTGCGTAGTTGAATTGCTCTCCCCTCACACTTCTGGTTAGTCATGGCAGATAGTTTAATTCTGAGAATTACAGGTACCCTAAGTCAAGTAAAAAAGAATTCTGCACTGGTTGGGTTTTACCATCATCTACTTCATATTTTATCAGTTTGCAGTTGGCACTGCAGAGATTGCCTGGATCTCTGCAAAAGTCAATATGTTCCAGGAGACAAATGGTGCTAATTGCTGCCTTTCTCCTCCTCCTGCCCTTAAAAGAGAAAATTATAACCGGATGACATAACGGCATCATCTGCCCCATGGTGTAAATGGGGAGAGGGGGAGGTTATGTGCAGAGTTAAATTACCAAAGTGGGACATAAATCAGGTTGATCCTTTCATTGCTTTCCATAGTGGTGATATCAGCRACAGCCAGTCCCTCCAAGGCTACCACAGAGGCTGTGGGTTTTTTGCCTTCTTCATCTTCATGCTTCACCATCTGTGCTCAAAACACCGCAGCTGAGGAGTTACTTAGGGTCCTCCTTGCCTTTTGATGCCTCTTTCACGTTGCTGCTTAGTAATAGCTGCTCTCAGGGTCTCCTTTGCTATTGCTCTTCGAAAGGCTTTTTAAATTGCGTTTTATTTATTAATTTTCTTTGCCTGGAGCTTTCCACAGGCAAATCCGACTGCAGTCTGGCTGCTTCTTTTAAGAGTTTGACATTGTTAAAATCAAAGCATGTTTTAGAGGTTTCTGGGTCATCTTCCTGCCAAGCTTGTGCCCACAGGTTTTGTTGGATATAATGAAGACAGGATAAGGATGCATCAGCTGAAAGTGCAGCCCAGCAAAGCAGTCCCTGCTGTTGAGGGCACAGAGAGCTCAGTCTTATGCCAAACTTCAGGCATTTTTCTGCTGTGAGCTCCTCTTTCTGTGCCCCTCTGGGGCAAATAAATYCCCCAAAGTCCTTTAGATCCCCAGCATTTGCTGAACAGCCTCTCTCTTTCAGGAGTAAAGCTGCATTTGAGACCAAAGTTCACCAAGATCTGGATTAAAATCTTGCAGTTCTGCTTCTTGTCTGAGGATGGTATCCTCAYGCAGCAATGTGCTCTCATCCCTTGAGCTCTTTGAGACTGTAAATTCTCAGTTTTCAGCCAGCAGTGAGAGCAGTGTCTGCAGTTCCAGCCTGGATTTCAGTAAGTGAGGGCTCCTACTCGACGTGGCCACTTGATGACCTTTGCTTTTAACACGGGCAGAGCCACGTCCTGTGTCTGACCCTGGGTATCTGGTGTCCTGGGCTCTGCCAAGTGACTGCCAGAAATACAACGTGCTGCGTGCAGGGTGCCAGTGTCCAGCAGGTTCTTTCACAAGCGTTTGGCTGCTGGAAGCTGCAAAATTACATAACTAGAGCTCACGAGGAGACCTTTGTGCTTAGGACGTGATAGTTCCAGGAAGGACTTTTGGAGGAAGAGCTCTAAATCATTTTGTTGTGTATAGCACAGACATGCTGCCTGTTGTAGCCAGGAAAGGATTAAAAGCCATAAAGCCCCGTTTCTGACAATGTGGGCTTGTTGGGTGCTGTCTGCTGGGGATGTGGATGTACCAAGTGTGGAAGTGGTGTTTAAGGAATCCCATGTCTCAAGAACAAGACTCACTCGAAGCTTGTAGACAAGAGAAGGAAGTATCTGCACTTGGGATAATGAGCTCCTGCAGTAAGATATTATGRCAAACACCAAAACAAATCAGTCAACAAACCTATGAACGGACACTAAAAGGGCCRGGTGGGAATATATACCTTCTAGTATCTGTAATATCTCATTTAGTAGAGAGGGGTAAGGAAGGCACTGGAGAGAGGAGTCAGATGTGTCTTCTGTTCCTGAGTGGCATCTTTATGTCTCTGTTGGAGAGAGACTTCTCTGCTGATGAACTTTTGGTCTGACCCGCCAGCATTTTAGCCACTGCGAGGAGAGTCCCAATTTCTGCATGAGCAAAACTGATACTGCCAGTGGTGACAACCAGTTTTTTCTGTGGTGCAAATTGAATAAAACAGCGATAATTTGTGTGTTTGTGTTTTATTCTGAATGTAGAAGTTCCTCTTCCTTTATACCATACCCTATAACAGCAATATGCTTTTTTTGACACGAAACCTCAATATCCTCATCTCTTTCAGACAGATGAATGGCGTCTGAGCTGCATCAATAAGGAATTCTCTGTCTGTCCTTCCTACCCTGCCGTCGTCATTGTCCCCAAATCCATTGATGACGAAGCGCTTCGGAAGGTGGCCGTGTTCCGCCACGGCAGTCGCTTCCCCGTCCTCAGCTATTATCATAAGAAGAATGGTATGGTAAGTTGTGTTTGAAGGAGGTATGYGAGTCTGGCCAGGTCTCTTCAGCCTTATTGAGGGGGGAAAAACGTAACGTGTGCTCTAGATTTAATGCTGTTCATGAGGCATTCGTTGCTGTTATTTCACAGCTTATTTCTGAGTGTGTGTGGTGCAGCTAGTTCTGGGGGRTGGAGGGAGTAATGTGCATTCTCGAAATAATTGTTAATCAACTGATTTAGGAGTTTTATCTGTCATGAGYTTGTCCTCAGCACAGAGCAAGCTGAGACTTGTAAAGCCACCACGGGCTCCCTCTCTTGCTTTGCCTGCCAAGGGGCTCCGTGATGAAAGGGTGGCAGAAACCATATTTTCCTGTCCCGGGGTGGTGGGCCATCTCCCTCCCTACAAGGTCAAGATGAAAGCAAGTGTGTTGGAGCCAGCTGCTGTAATACATAAGAGCTTCAGCCGCATAAACATCTGCGGGGTGATCGGAGCCATCAGTGGAGCTTCTAGAGAKGGGCCAGCGCAAAGCAACTGAGATGATTAAGGGAGTGGAACACCTATTGYATGAGGAAAGGCTACATGAGCAGGGCCTCTTTTCCCTGGAGAAGAGAAGATTAAGAGGGGATCTGATCAATATGTACAAATACCTGAAGGGAGAATGTAGGGAGGAAGAGGCCAAACTTTTCTCAGCTGTGGCTAAGGCTAGGACAAGGGGCAATGGGTGCAAGTTGAAACCAAGGCAGTTCCATCTCCATGTGGGGAAAAACAACGTTGGTGTTAGGGTGACAGAGCCCTGGAACAGGCTGCCTAGGGAGGTTGTGGAATCTCCTTCTCTGGAGATCTCCCAAACCCGCCTGGATGCCGCCCTGTGCCACATGCTCTGGGTGTCCCTGCTTGAGCAGGGAGGTTGGACTAGGTGATCTCTAGAGGTCCCTTCCAAACTGAACGTTCTGTGATCCACTCTCCAGGGCTCTCAGTATGACTCGGGAGTAGCAAAGTCTTGCTGTCGCACAGATCTGCCACCTTCCAGCAAGCCAAAGCCTATTTGASTTGTTTTTATCTGTTTTGAGTTGTTTTACCTGAAGCATGCTGTAATTAAGAAATGCGCTGTAAAAAAAACAGTTGAATAATTCCTTTAAACCATTTGTGAGGATGCTGGAGTGTGGAGCGCGTGCAGCCCCTAAACTCAGGAGGCTGTTGAYTCAGCCAAGCTCCTGAGTAATGTGTCCTCCTGCTGTAATGTGTCCTCACCTCCAGTTGCCAAGATTTGCAATGAATTAGAGGGTGTCCGGCCTGACCCAAGAGYTTGCTCTATATCTCCTTTCTTTCTTGCCTAAAAATCAGCCATCCACTAATTTCATAATACTCCTGATTTCTGCTTGCCTGAAAACCATTGAAGGCGGATTTGCTCAATTACATCTCTGAACTGTGCCTGTTTCAAGGGTGAGGAGTACATTGATATTCAGCTTGGAGTGCTTGAACCTGTGACGCKAATGCTTTCTGTCACGTATTCTTCTCTTGGTTGGAGTCTGAGAGGGCAGCTTGGCTTGCTGACTGGCTGCCTTGCATTTCTGCTGCTGGGATGCAATAGCTTTATGATGTGAAAGGCACTTTCTGAGGGGAAATCTCAGCTTATGCTTCTGGGAACCAGGGCTTTATTAGTCTAGCCGACGAGTAAAACTGTAACTTTTGAAATGTGAATGACTTGAGTGCTTTAAAAACAGGGTTATGAAGAGATTAAAAATYATGATCCTAAAAACGCCGACTTCTTAAGAAGGCATCAGCAGGAAGCCAGCTTTGTGGCTTGCAAAGATGATGTTATAGAACTAATTAAAGGCAAAGACCCCTGGGAAGAGGTGTGTTACTTAAAGTAGCTTACTGAATGAATGYTTAATTCAAGGATTTCTAGCTTGGTTTTTAGATAAATTATGGGCAACCACTTATGGAGTCTGAAAGGAACTAAAAGATCCAGGACAAGGGAGAACTGGAGCTGTAGGAAGAACCTGRTAAATGTTGGGTGCTCTTTCTGTGCATCAGATTTACAGCTGAAAATATTTCCCTAATCTGTGTCTAGATGTGGAGCTTGAAGCAGACACAAGTGAGAAGTGCAGGGGGATGAGAGCTGCACTTGGTGTAAATCCACAGAAAAGAGCTGAAGATCAAGGGTGGGTTTGAATTATGATGATGGAGAAAGCAAATTACAGTGTATGCATCCCATCCCACTCAGCATCATTAGCAACCTGCACTGTAAAGGAAAGCTGGAGTCTCCTTTGTGAATTTAAGAGTGCATTTTTCTAGAGAGCAGCTCTGTTTCTGGAGCTCAGACCCAGTGATCTAACGCAATGGTTTGCAGTCTATTCACAGGCTAAAAAATGTGGAGGTGTCTTCTCTGCCTAGTGAATTTAACCTCTCCTCTAGGTTTGGGGCTTGAGTACTTGATGTCTTTTAAGCCTCCCCATTTCTTGTGCCTAATTGCTGATTATTTTTCCCTGCAGGTAATGATGCGAAGCAGCCAGCCTCTTACAGGTACTAATGGGAGACGGTGTAAAGAAGATGAGAAGCTGATCAACGCCACGCTACGAGCAGGCAAGCGGGGCTACATTATTGACACGAGGTCCCTCAACGTCGCCCAGCAGGCCAGGGCCAAAGGAGGAGGTTTTGAACAGGAAGCTCACTATCCCCAGTGGAGGAGAATTCACAAGTCCATCGAGAGGTGGGTGGAATCACACAGGGCCTCCTTGCACAAGGCTTTGTGGGGTGCCTTGGCCATGCTGGCTTCCTGCAGTGTCCTACGTGTCCTGGTCACTGTCAACAAAATCATATCATCTTCAACAAAAAGGCTATGTGTATCAGGGCTTTTGGGTTGGAAAAGCCTGGGTTTGGTTCCTATTTCTGAACAACCTGCTGCGGCTTTCAGACATCAGACGTCTCCCTGAGCAATGTGTTTCTTGGACCATCTGCAGGGCAGTTTCTTGTGTTCATCTTCGTAGCACACAGGGAGTCCTTTGCTAGGAACATTCTGGAAGTCAGGACTGTGCTCTGTGCCAGTCACCTTTTTCCTACCCTGCACTTTCCTCTGCTCATTTAATAGTGCTTGGCYGCTTAGAAACAAGTTACTAAGTTCAATAAACTTTGTTCTGACCTGATAAAACTGCTCTTAACCCTTAGTTTCAGAGAATCCTTCCCTAGGGGCTTGCAGTAATGTTACTGGAGCTATTGAAAAGCAGTTGTCCCTCCAGGACTGTGTAGACCAGCTCTTGTGCTAGAGGGAATTCCTGCTCTTTGCTTTTAATAGTTTGTCTTTTGCTTCTTAAAAACTTAATTAAAATTGTGTTACTTACGAATAAATAAAGCAAAACACAAGACTGATGTCTAAGTCTATCTGTAAAAAATACATCAAAACCAAGTTCAATTCCATCTAAGTAACACAATTTTAATTTACCTACTTGCTGCCTGCTTTGTTACATTTGGAAGCAATGTTGTTTAAGCAGCACTTGATCCATCAGTAACTTGGTGCACGTTGAAAGCAGTGTGAAATAAGGAGAGAAGTGCCTGCAATACCAGCTGCATGCAGGGCACCAGCTTTCTAAGGCTTGGGGACATACTACAACAGCTCTCAAAAAAAGTGTAACCTCCCCCTTTTCTGTTATTTAAAAAAAAAAAATGCAGTCAAACACATTTTCTTGCAACTCTATGCTAAGAAATTGAGTCTAGTTAAAAATCTCTGTCAATAGTGGGGTTGTGTCCTTGTGGTAACAGCTTGCAGGTCCGAGTTGTGCGTGTGGGGGAGAGAAAACCCTGAGACTTTGGGTGTAACACACAGAATGGAGATAATTGCTAATGTACAAGCCAGATTGCAGTCACGCTGCATTTGTTAATGAGATGTTTTGAAACACATTTTATAAATATGCCTGAGCACACAAAGAGCTTGTGGAAAATAAGGAAAGTGCTGTAGTATTTTAATAGCTCATGAAGCAGTTGCTGTCCTCAAAGGAGCGTGACAGCCTGTGTCCAAAGAGTAACATCCTGCTRCTTGTTAGATGTGTCTTAGAGTTCCCAGTAAAAGCAAGTTGGAATAAAGAGATTTGAATTCTACCAAGTCTTGCTGTATGATGTAACAACACATAAACCTCAGTGCCCAACTCCTAGATCACAATCTCTGAATGTCATTTTGTGAGTGTGTTGTCTCAGTTGCTGTGCCACTGCTGGCCTTTTTTTTAAATAATATTTTGCTTTTTCCAAAGGTTCAATATTCTGCAGGAAAGCCTCATCAAACTGGTGGAAGCCTGTAATGACCAGTCACACAATATGGACCGTTGGCTCAGTAAGCTGGAGGCCTCCAACTGGTTGACTCACATCAAGGAGATACTGACTGCAGCTTGTCTGGCCGCTCAGTGTATTGATAGGTAAATCATCTTTTTCTTCTCAGAAATCTTGATTTTTCTCATTCCCTTCTTACAGGCTTCTTGTTAAATATTCMTTTCCTGCTTAGGCACTTAGTAATTGGGCTACCATGAAGCCAGCTTGCTTGTACCCATGGAAAATACTCTTTCATCATCACAGTTAAGGAATSTTCCTCCAGTACATCATGTTCGCCTCTTTATGAGTACAAGCCTGAGGGGGGGAAAAAATAACTGAGAACAGATATTAGATCATCTGTTTGAGACCTATTCTCATGCCTGATTCAGTATGGCTAATTCGGTTTGCTTTGAACGTCTAGATTAGAATGTGCCCATCTGAAGGGCTGTTGTGGCTGCCTAGTAAAATGAGAACACACACAGTGTTTTTAAAACAGATTTTTTTTTTCAGTGGAAGCTTTCCAGTACATCACCTTGCTTGGAGTTTAATATGCTTTGTTTCCCTCAGGAGTTGGTCCTATATCTTTTGCTCGTGAAACATTTATCTCCATAGCCCTATCCGAGCTATCCTGCTGATCCCTTTATAAATGGCATGCGACCTCTCTTAACCTGGCAGTTATTAAATAAATGCTGTTAATTTGGTTAACTTGTCCTCAAAACATCTTCGTATCTCAGGCTGGAGAGCTCAGGTGCTGGAGTGTGTGAGACTGAGTGCAGCGCTCTGCATATAGTCCCTTTATAGCCACGAAGGGAGAAGAATCTTCCCAAAACTGTGAACCCCGAGCTGGCTTTTCCAGCCAGAGAATTCATTCTACAGATACACAAGTARAACGAGATGCAGCAATGCTAAAACAGCGTTGCTCCTTTAAAATACCAGCTGCAGTGTCACTTTGGAACAGTTTGCACGTTTAGTTACGGGCTGTGCCAGGGAAGGATTGCTCTCGATCGATGGTTTTATCTGCAGTTCTTTTCCCCCTCATGTACTATGGGAAAGATCACTGACGAAACTCCTCGGGCGTGTTGGGACAGCAGATGGTTTCGTCATTATTAACCTCTCTTAAACTTCTCCATTTATATGTTTACCCAGAGCAGCGGCTGGCCAGCCCAGAACAGCAGAGCCGGTTGCTCACAGTTGAAGCTGATGAGGATGTTTCGGTTGTATTTGCTGGTCCCAGGGGAGGGAATGGCTGGGAGAGATCTCTGGAGTGTGGGAGGGAATCTCTGTGTTACCTTAAAGATCTGGGGCCAGGAAAGTGGAAGGTTGTGACAGCGTTATGATCACAGAGTCCCAGGATGGCTGAGGTTGGAAGGGACCCCCAGGGCTCCCCCAGCGCAGCCCCTGCTCCAGCAGGGACACCCAGAGCRCGGGGCACCCGGGYRCATCCCRGYGCGCTGGCAGATCTGCAGAGCAGGAGCCTCCGCAGCCTCCCTGGGCAGCCTGGGCCAGGGCTCGGGCACCCTCCCACCAAACAAGTTCTTCCTCACGGCCACATGGAGCTGCCTGCGCTGCAACCTGCACCCACTGCCCCTTGGCCTGCCCCTGGCCACCACCCACCAGAGCTTGCACCTTCCTCCCTCCATCCTCCCCTCGGCTCCTTGGACACACTCACCAGCTCCCCTCTCACCCTCCTCTTCTCCAGGCTCAACAGGCCCAGCCCCACAGAGCTGCTCTCCAGCAGGTCATCCCCTAATCTGTACTGGTGCCTGGGGTTATTCCTGCCCAGGTGCAGGACCCTACACTTGTCCTTGTTGAACCTCATGAGGTTCCTCTCTGCCCAGGTCCCTCTGAATGGCAGCACAGCCCTCCGGAGTGYCGRCCACTCCACCCAGCTTGGCKGTGTGTCCYGCTTTGGGCAGGACGTAGGCTTGACAGGTAACCTGTGCAATTGCCCCTAGGAGAGCTGCAGTAAGAGGCCTCTTGATCCCTCACTGCTTGGGGGGTAGAGAGAGGACAGAGTGTGAAGGTTATTTCATAGATAGCAGCACTGATACAGTTTTAGACCCAGAGCTATGGATGAAGACGGTGCAAAAAAATCTACACCCTAAGCATGGCTTTTGACTTCAAAAAGCAAAATCTATCAGCAGGGTTACTTGCTTGGTGGATTTATCCCTTTTCACCACTTTTGCAGCTTAGCTTGTGTCTAGTGTAAGGGTTTGTCCAGAAATAAGACATTGTGCCAAGGATTGGGAGGGATGAATGGCACTTAACTCCACCTGCTCCTTGTTCAGGAGGACTTGACTCATACCCAAACACAGCCAAGGATTCGGGAAGAGGGGAGGGGATCAGTTGGCTTGGATGGTGGTCCTGGGTGACAGCACGTGGCACCTTAGCAATGTGAAGAGGCTTCCTGCCCTTGTGCCTCTGGCCTGCCTCTGCTCCTCACCTTGTTCTGCTGATTCTCTTGTCCTGGATGGTGAGTGAGGGCCCTTGTGCTTGGCTCTTGGACAAGTTTGTCCGTGACCAACACAACTTACAGGAGACCAAGTATTCCCCTTTATATGTTCACTGAATGCTTTRTTTTTATTTGCCATAAGCACCAGTTAAGGCTGGATCTTAACACACACTTAACCAAGCCCAGGTGTGAGCAAAACTCATAGCACTGTTAAGGTGAAGGAGGAATCGTCCTTGTGTTTGGCATGAGATTAAGCTTAAGAGGTGGAAGAAGAAGAGGCCAAGACCATCAAAACCTGAACGTTGTCAGGGTGGTGCCATTAGTGTCCTGGAGATGCGTTGGCATCTGGGATGCCTGCATCCGAGGGAAGTGTTGTGCTTATTTCACACTCCTATTCCTCTCCTCCCCTGCAGGGAAGGAGCATCGGTCCTAGTTCATGGGACTGAAGGAACCGATTCTACGCTGCAGGTGACCTCTCTGGCACAGATTATCTTGGACCCCAGGTGCAGGACCATACGTGGCTTTGAATCACTTGTTGTGAGAGAGTGGCTTCAGGTAAGAAGTGCCTTTGAAGCAGCAATATCCATGTGAGCGAAATGCTGAGCTACTCGAGAGAGGTTTGTGCTGAGAGAGAGCTTGGGAGTCAGCAAAAAGACTGGAACCTGTTGCAGTCCTGCTTAGTGTGAACAGCCCTTGGCCTAAGCAGCAGCATCGTTACTGAATCATTTGTCCCTCTGGGACTCCATGTATCCTCTGCCTCTCATGGTGTTTCTTTTGGTTTGGGGGAATTCTGTTTTGTGTGTGTAGTCTGGGCGTCTCTTTTGAGCGCTGATCAGACTAAAACACAAAACTCCAGCTCCACTCTTCGTATTCTCACTGCAGTTGGCCTCAGTCTGGTCCTTCATTGCCCCCTTCACCAGTTCATTCCTAGTAAAATTCTCTAATAAATTGTATTCTCAAATTAAAATCTATAATAAAATGTAGTGCTATGTACATAGCCAGAAATGGGCACAGTAAATCTGGGCACTCTTGCTAGCAATTTGTTACTGGATGCTTGGCCCAAACTACAGTTGCAGGAAAAGAGTATTAATAGCTCTATGGAGAGAAATGACTCCCAATGCTTTGCCAAAGTGCAGTTGTAGGAAAGAGTTTTAATAAAGCATAAAAATGAGAGAAATGGCTGTGCTGAAGTCTCTTTGCTAGATGTGTTTGCATCCTGTTCCACTGTGTGTGATGCTCTCTGCTCCTTCTTTACAGGCTGGCCACCCTTTCCAGCAGCGCTGTGCCCAGTCAGCCTACTCGAACAGCAAGCAGAAATGGGAAGCCCCGGTGTTCCTGCTCTTCTTGGACTGTGTGTGGCAGATCCTGCGTCAGTTCCCCTGCTCTTTTGAGTTCAACGAACACTTCCTCATCATGCTCTTCGAACACGCTTACGCTTCCCAGTTTGGGACCTTTCTGGGCAACAACGAAAACGAGAGGTTGGTGAGGGTGCTTGCTCAGAACCTGCAGCTGGCAAAGAAAAGGTCTCTTGGTATGAAAGGGCCACCTTAAGGGTGCTTGTGCAGTCTCTTATAGMACAGGTTAAGTTCTTCTTTTGGTCACCTACCCTACCCTAACGTCACGGAGCTTTTCCATTTACAAGAGAGCTCCTGTGACCAAAGAYGTGGTCACAGGACCACATCTTGTGACTTGATGGGAGCTAAGGGATAAGCTAATATCCTGTCTGCCTGTGTAGTCTTGAAATATGCCCACTTCATTTAGTCTCGTGCACAGAAACTACCTGTTCCCCGTGCTCTGGGTGTCCCTGCTGGAGCAGGGGGGTTGRACTGGATCATCTCTAGACGTCCCTTCCAACCTCAGCTGTTCTGAGAYTCTTTCCATAAAAGGACTAGTAGCTGGAGCTCAGCAATGACAGAAGTCAGGCTTATGGGGAGCAAAACRTGTCAGCACAGGACCAAAGGAGAACGTCCTTGGTGACGTGAAGGACATTAGAAGTGAAAACTGCAATATAGTAACTGTCAGGGAGGAACATGACTCTGTAGCCTGATGGTTACAACATCCATAGGGAAAGGAGGGCTTGTTGGTTCAGGCATTTGCTTTTTTTTGCATCACCTGTGAACTGCAGCRTGTGGAAAGACATGGGAGAGGTCCTGTCAAAACAATCTGTGTTTTACTTGTTTGGCTGCAGGCATCTTTGAGGTTTCCGTGGAGGTGCAGTGGCCCAGCTTCCAAAAGAGGACCAGGATGATGCTCTTCCACTTTTTAAAAGGAAGCAGCCAGCGCTGCCTCCTGCTGCAGTCTGCCTGCCCAGATAACATTGGACCTGTGCTGAGCTTGCTAGTGAGCTTGTGGCTTGCGACTTGACTCAGTCAACCCTTATTTTCTGCACCCTAGTGAGGTCTAGAAAGAGCATTGTGCTGGTGGGGTGGTTTTGAGTATGCACTAAGGAGCTGCCAGGAGCATTAAACAAGGAGGACTGGAGCCTCCCATGATGCCAAAGGAGGTTTGAATTCCTATTTTGAGCTTAGTTCTATTCTCAGGCCTGTGGGTTCCGCTAAGACATAATCTCCTAARCTGAAGGCAATTGAATGAGTAGAAGAGAAAGTAAAGCTGATGATACAAGTGGACAAATACAGCTTTAAATTTCTTAGAAACCTCTCTGCCCTTAAAGTAACCTCTGTTTAGAAGAGACTCTGTCTTCTGCAGGGCTGCTCAGCTGGTCATCTGTGAAACTAAATTGGACTTAGAACCAATAAAGCCAAATTTAAAGAGCATTGGATGTTACATGGAGTAATCTGCCTGTCACATCTGAATATGTCTGCCTGTGAGCACAGAACTTTGAAGTCTAATGTTAAGCTTGTGTTGTCTGAGSAATGCACAGGGATGGCAAATCCTCCCACTTGAGTGTGCTGATGCAAGCAGCCTGGAGTCTGCCAAAATCTAAGGAATAGAGAGCCTTAATAGGCACCTCCTGGAGGTGGATTTAATGCAGGATGACAGAACTGCCTTCTCTCTGTGCTCTGATGCTTTCTGCCACCAGAGGGAACTCATCAGGCATGWCTGTTGTGCAATTCCAGCAATAATCCTGCTTTAATTTACCCTCACAACTGTGTTGCGATCCTTTCTTACCATCCCTCATGGCTCTGTTTTGACAACAGCATAATAATTCAGTTCCTTTCGAGACGTATCAGACCATTTCATAGTTAATTCTTTCTCCAGACAAAAGGCAGCTTCCCAGTTTACAAATGTCATTTTTTTGCCCTCTCTTCTTTGGAATAAATTGTAAAGGGTTAGGTTGAGTAAATTGCATCACCATTTCACTGCCACGTTGGTGAGATGCTACTGAATGGGATTAGCCTGAATTATTCACCCTTAATTTTTCTGGGCTAGTAGTATGTGGGAAAACTTGGGATATTTTAATTTGCAGAGTTCTGACAGAGCAGAGTGAGTTTATAGTTGAAATGTGGAAGCTAACTTGGCCATGTTTGTTCTTTTAGGTCTAAACTGAAGCTGCAGCAAAAGACTATGTCCCTGTGGTCGTGGGTGAACAGGCCCCAGGAACTGAACAAATACAAGAACCCTCTTTTTGAGGCCAACAGTCTGGTCATCTGGCCCTCTGTTGCCCCGCAGAGCTTGCAGCTCTGGGAAGGTAGGCCAGGCTTGTGCCTTCTGCTATGTGCAATGTATATTTAGTGGCTACTAAAGGCAGAGGAAAGGAAAAAAAAGCTGTTTTTAGTGATTAACCTTATTTAACTGGGCGTGATGAATCCTGAGAGGTGAGTCAGARCTTCGAAGTGATGTTTAGGGGAGAGGTTTAGGGGAGAAAAATGTGGATTGTATCATGCTGCTCATATGAGCTGAAGGAACATGAAAAGCATTTTGAGCTTGTAACAGAGCCCCTTGTGACTTTTGCTCTCCCTCTGGGCTTTCAGGTGTCTTTCTCCGATGGAACAGGTCTTCCAAGTTCCTCGACGAAGCCTACGAAGAAATGGTCACCCTTATAGAATACAACAAGCAACTTAAGGCAAAGGTTAATGCACTGAGGAGGCAGCTAGCAGAGCTGGAGACGGATGATCGGATGCAGGAGAACGCCTGAGCTTGCAGGGCTCTGGACTCGGGGGTTTCCTTTCAACTCCTCTTTACACTAAAGACTCAACATGGAAAGTGCATGTGTTGCAGAGCTCTCTGGTGCAATGGATCCTCAGTCCCCTCACCGCTGACACCTTCACACTATGTACACATCCCTGYTTTTTTGGGGGGAGAGATCAGTTTTGTTTACAGAAGACGTACACAACCAGGCGTGGTGTCCCCTCCTGGCAGCTTTTCTGGCTCTAGTAAATGGTGTRTAGTGTCGGGATAAGCTGGAGCTCTCACCTCTGTCCAACTCTGGGGATCACCAGGTTGGGCCAAGAGCCAGGATGTTTTGAATTTATTTTGGACTTTTTTTTGTTAAACTCTCCAAGCACTCCCTTGGCAGGAATAAAATACAAAGTCAGAGATCGGTAGATAAAGGCATTTTGTCCAAAAGTACCTTTTTCCCCCCCTTCCAAGGGTAGCTAAGGCAGCTTAGTTCTTCAGTTTTTTGGAAAAATCTTGAACTTTTAGTTAAATCACACCATTTTTTTTATGTGTTTGCATAAGACTTTGTGTTAAGCATTGGCTTGGGAGCAGTAACTTAAATTTCCAAGCTGGATAAAAAATTTCAGTGCAATACAGAATTAAGGTAGGGGTTCTGCTGTTAGCAGGTAACCCATGAGCTTCAGGTGGAATTGGGCCTCACGAACAAATCTCTCTTGACAAATAACCTTTTTCTTTTTTTTTTTTTTTTTTTTATTCCTGCTTGGAAAACAGAGGTTAAGTAGCTGGCAGAGGTGTTCACTGGCTGAGCAAAGCAGTGACTTGGACATGTCCCTTTAGCTAGAGCTACGCTGATCTTCAAGCTTCTGGTTGCACTGGCTGTTTTCGTAAGTTTAAATAGATTCACGTCACTGTTAGGGTGAAAAAAAATGTACAGTAGCTCCTAACTTAAGTCTCAGCAGAACATTTGTACTCCAGGTGTGTTCTTTTTTCCCTTTCATGTGCATACTAGGTATTTTATAYGTTAAAAAAATCAAAAGCAAAAGATAGAAGTAGGTCTGATCTAACATATCAGGTATCTTTTGCTGATCAAGAAGCTATCACTACAAAAATGCTCCCTTGTTTAGATCACTTCTAGCTGCTTAAACTATTTAAAAATATTAGGGATCAGCTGTTTTTCAAGTTAAATGTCTTCTGTAGCTGTTCTTTGTGTCTGCAACCTGCCTCTTAATTCTGATCTTTACTGGARACTTTTTTTTCCTCCTTTAATAACGCAGTCAAGAATAAGTCTGAAATACTTGTCTAGACACTTGCTCAATTGATTCCATTGCTGGCTTTATATGACCAAGAAGATGTGAATTTAAGATGGATCATGTGGCTGGGACTGTTTCACAAGTTCCTTGCTGTTAGCTGCTTTCTTCTGAAATGAAAGGAGCTGCATTAGGTCAATATTGACTTCTTTGGAAAGTGTTGAACTATCCCCAGCCGTGGCATTTTGTGTTTTGGAACAAAGATGCCTTTATTTAAAAGCTGCTTTTACAGAAATRTGTGTGTGTGTATATACCTGTATGRGAATGGARGGTATTTAGTTGTCTTAAAAGTATCTGGAGAGGAATTGTCTACAAAAATCCCATGACCTGTAAAATAAGTGTTCCATAACCAGGAAATCATTTATGTAAAATGACTTGATAGTGATTTTTAATTGCTACCTTAATGCCTTTTATTTCAATCCTTGTTTCCTTAAGTATTTTCTTCTTGACTAGCCTAAACGTGGTCCTAAAGYGCTCCTTTTTGGTTTTGTTGCTTTTTTCTTTCTTTGCCCTTAAGAGTTAACCTGCATGGTTTCATTTTACAAGGGCTGCTTCAGAAAGAGATCCCCGTTGAACAGAAACAGCCKTAGGGCGGTCAAATAATTCCCACTCATTTTAATACCAGATATATTTGGAGAAGGGCACTCCTGTTCACTAAATCAAGATTGACAGAAGGAATAGTTCTCAGGGCAGTTTAGTGGCCGCCGTTACATAACACATAGACRCAGGTTGGCCCTGCCTTCCTCCCGCTGCCAGCCCCTGATTTTGGAACCGTCTTTCAAGTATTTATGCGAAGCAGGCCCTTGAAATGACTGCTTGTACCCTTTAAAGTGATGGCTGTGCTGTCTGCACCTGCCTCGGTGTAGGATTCCCATCCCAGTCACAATTTCTGCCGTGCCTCTAAGCCTGAAACGCGCCGTTACTAGTCAGATGAGGATTAAGAAGGGACTTTTTTTCTCCTCTCTCCAGTAGACTATATATAAAATATGTAAAGGTTCTGTAGATTCCTAACATAGTAATTATGCATTGAACTAAATAATAGAGAAGCAAGGAGGTTTTTTGATGTAATTGCCTGCCTGTTCCAGCCTCTCCTGCAAGCTGCGTGTGTGTGAGGAAACTGAGTAAGCAGCTGTGACAGCTAACTCAAGGCAGAGCAGTCTTTGAGCTGCATTTCATCGTCCACTCATGTTTCAGGGCTCAATACACCCCCGAGTGGTGTGTGTTTGCCTGGGCTCAGTGGCMGTGTGGATCACTTAGCCTTAAAGCTAAATATTAGTGTAGTTCTGAACAGCGAGTGGCTCTCCTGCTTTTCTGCCTTACTACACCTTGTATTCCCAACGAAGCGCCAGCGTTGGAGGCTTTATTTCCAAACAGACACCTTCCAGAGGTGCTGGAGTTAGGATGGGATGCTCAGACTGTTGCAGGTGCTCCTAGGAGAAGGTGCTTCCCAGATTGTGTGGTGGCCTCATCGCGTGGTCCCTCCGGACCTTTCCATCTCCAGTGCCTTCCAGGTTGAGGCTGATGCTCTTTGCTTCCCTGCCCCTCCACAACCTTCATGCTTAAAGATCCACCTAACAAGCTGCTCATAAAGTCCCCTGAAAACACTTAGGGTCAGTCGATGTGGACACTGCCATTTACCAAAAAGAAAAACATGAAAAAAAAGGGAAGAGGAACTAACTTGCACAGTTTTCATGAACAYAAAGGGAAATATACCTGCAAAATGTTGATTGTATTGCTCTCTTGAATGTGGCGATCTGTTGAAGTGCACTATTGTCCATGTTGCATATGATATAACTTAAATTGCACTGTATAGCGTATTGGCGTCTCACGTATGCTTTGCTAAAGCCTTGGAAARTGCTGTCGTGCACAGGTTCCTGCACGAGGGAAAATGTCTCTGCTGGCAATTCCACTTGGTTTGTAACTGTGTGACACTGAATAGCACTATGTGTAAAGTCATGTGTACTATATATCTGTTAYCTGGTTCAGGACATAGGTGGAATGCCTTTCTGTCCAAACATCTGGAATTGCTAATTGGACTTGGCTGCTGCTTCAAACTTGATTTAAAATCAAATAATTAACAGGGTTGGGAGCTGTGTGCTGCTGTTAGAACTATGTTGTGTGTGTACAGCATCCCAGCCCCTGTTGTGGTGTTGAATATATTGTGAAAAGGTAACATTGAGGACAAAGGAAGAAGCTGTAACACCTACAATCGTTTATCCATTTCGGGGAAATAACAGATATAAAACGGCTGTAAACTTTTGCTGTAGACTTGTTGAGAACACAGTGGAAATGTCTGTCTGAATTAAAATCTTGAAGACTCTAAAAATGTTCCTTAATTGTCRTGCGGGATCGATTATCTCCTTTTCAGTGGGTGGATGCGAGACTTGGGCATAAGCTCTCACTGATGCTTCTGGTTCTCTTCAGCTCATAATTCAAAATGGAATTTGGTGAATTTTATTTACCTTTTTGGGGGGGATTTGGAAAGAAAGGAGCGGTGATGCTGAAGAACTCTGAAGGGAGACAGATGCTGATACAGGTTRTGGGAAGAGACTGGAGTCTCCATCCTGGGAGCTGCTCAAAACCTGCCTGGATGCAGTCCTGGACACTCAATTCACCTGAATTCCCACCTGGCTTTCCAAACCTCAATCCCAAGCCTCATATTACATCATCTGGCTGAAGATCTGTCCCCTCTCACCCCTTTCCAACCTGTTCCCCGTCTTGGACCAGACTTCAGAGTAGAGGCAACCGCATTCCTACAAGTTTCATGGGAACAAGAGACCTGGATGAGGTGTTGGAAACGTATTAACCCTCAGAGCTGGGCTCCGCACAAGCTCCTCATCTACTGCAGAGTTTCTGTGGCTGCTGCTGATGGTGCTGCATCCAACTTCCATCATCCTGTACAATCCTGTACTTGCTGCAGCAAGAACACGTCCTGAGGGAGCTTAAACCCAGAAGACTGTGGCTGCAGCTATTTCTTACTGGCAAAAGGGGAAAAACAAAAGGTTCTTGTTTAGTGCTTTTCTAGGGCTATTTTTCATGCTGTCSCTTTCCCTCATGGAATAAAAGAAGACAATGAGGAGAAACTACCAGTGGGGCTGCATGTGTCTCAGGAGGACACGTGTATAGGATGCTGCTCGATGGCTCGTGGTTCTTCCTGCTGCACAAATGTCACCAGGAGCCTGTGGCCTTTGCCTTGTACAGCCTGAGATGCTGCTGCTCTGAGGTTCTGCTGCTTGGGAGCTGTCGGGTCACTTGATCTGATGCTACAGGATGTGTTTGTGGAGGGCTTTGCTCTTACAGCTTGGTATCTGCTTCCCCGAGTCCTGGCAGAAAGCCTGGACACATTAAAGAAGAGAAGCCTGTTTCCTCATTTAAGACTTTGTTTATGTTTGGRTAATATCTGATTGCTCATCGAGTGAGTAAACCTTCCACTTGGCATCGAAATCAAGAGAGAAGACGCAAAGATGCTGTTGGCTTCCCGTGGGGAATTTACCAGGTGGGTGAAATAAAATTGGTGTTTAATAAAACACAAAACAAGCGCAGAAGCCGTTTCTGTGCTTGCTAACAGGAACGGGGCTGAAGCTCTGTCCTCTTCGTTGTGCTGCCACTTTTCAGCCAACCTCAGGCATCTCGGTTGTAGGTGAGATCCCCTGCTGTGAATGCTCCAGGTTTAACGTTGCTTTGCAGTGTGCAGAGGGCTGCAGAATGAGGGACATGGTAGGAACACAATGACCATTAAACAGACTAATTATTGTGGTAATGTGCATGTTGCTTTGGTCCTAAAAATAYGAGGAGTAGCTGCCAAAATGACATTTGTGCCTCACAGAAGCTGTTGTACGTGCAAGGGCCGCTGGATTCCCAGCTGTGTGTTAGTACTAACAGCCCTTGAACTACAGGATCAAAAGTTGAAAGCACTTTCCATAGCATTAGTGGTACAGGGCCCTGAACAAATACACAATTTGTGCTTAATTTGGGTAACTGAAAGCTGATTTATCGCTTGCCTCAATGACAAGCCGGTGGACCTTGATATAAAGGGCAGGCATATTTGCAGCCCACTAGTCTTGCAGCTTGCCAGAAGAATGTCCTGCTCTGACACAATGCAGCTCCAGGAGTTTTCAGTACCAGCAGGACTCACAAACCTGGGATGGCTTTTTAAAATTTTCTTTTTCCTTGTAAAAAATGATCCCAATGGTCTAAGCTTGACAGATGCATCCAGGGGATAAATCTTTTTGCAAGGAAAAGATASAGGAGGAAGGGAGGCTCTTACGAGGAGGTGGATAATCAAAAGCATCCCAGAGGACTCCTCTTGGGGAGATGCAGCCCCAGGGTTTGTGCCGTGCCAAATGTGAGACCAGTTGTGCTGGGCACAGCACTATAGGCAACAGAATGATCTAGTGTCGTGGTTTCTGGGTGGGAAGGTGTAGATCAGGAAAAGTCCTTTTGCCTCAGCCCTTTTGCAAGGGGGCTATTCCGAAGGTGCATAGCGTAGGGTATAGAACCTGGTATAACTCCTGGAAAATTAATTAGTGTGWTGCATCAGCAAATAATGTAGGACATCTATAAAGGATACATTACATTTTAAAGTATTTTTTTTAGGYTTATAAACCTATGATGATGTGAAATATAAGCTTTCTTGTCAAAAATGCTTTCTGTCGGGAATAGGGATAGTTTCAGAGCAGGTTCTTGGAGCAGAGAGCTTCGGGCCTTCGGGGTGTTGCATTTCCTGCGTGGCTTCAGTGGCATTTTTAGGGCTGCTTTGGGTGTATAAGTCACTGGGGCTCTATCCTGCCTGGCTGTGGGGTCTGGGAACAAAGGCTTTGCTGACAGGCAGGATACATGGSCTGTAGCAATAGCTTTGCATAACTGAAATGCTATTGCACTAGAGAGACCTACAYTTGAACTGAACTTTTTCCCCCCAAGACTTAATGATATTGCTGTTGAAGACTCCGCACGTTGGATATTTAATCAGCTGTTGCAGGGAGAAAACAGCCCTTTGGATGATGCGGGGTATGTACAGGATTCTGGCTGCTGCGACTCCTTTAGGTTTGTATTTGCAGAGGGAAACGTGGCTGTGCCTTGCTGGGAAGAGGTTTTCTGCTGAAGCTCCTTGCAGGACTCCTGTGCAACGTGAAATTTATAAGGTGCTTCGGCTGCGTTGCCAGCAATTTGCAAAGCTGTGATTTTGCAACGGGGAAGGAGCTGGTAACGCTGAACTCGAGTGCTGCCGTTTTCCACCCTGTCTCCCTCCCCCGGATTGCAGAACCTGGGAAGGACAAACAACAACGGAGCTGAAAGGGAAAAGCTCCACAGTGTGAGTCAGCACCCGTGAGCGCCGCGATGATGCTGCTGATACTGAAGGCATGGAGAGGATTTGCAAGGTGGCACCTCGCATGGATTTACAAGCTGTCTCCTCAGGCTCTGGCGCTGCAACGAGATTCCCATGGGGTTGGATTCGGGAAGCCCAGATCCTGCAGACTGCASTGTGACCTTGGGTGAGTTGCTTCATCAGCTTCCACCTGCATCCTGTGTTGCAGCTCCAGGAGGTGTCCTGCAAGGGCTCTGCTGTGGCTGCGAGTCGCCTGGTACCTGAATGACACTTGGTGAAACTTCCAGCTGCTGATTTGGAACCGTTTAGAGGAGGAAGAAGGAAAGAAAAATCACTAATCGTGAAAAATCACTGACTAACTATGAAAAATCACTAACAATGAAAAATCCCTAACTATGAAAGAAGCAGATTGCTTGGGGWGGTTGCCTGTAAACAGACCTCTGTAAACAAGAAACATCCTTAAATCTGCAACTTTCCCACCTTACRGTGGTGGTAACTTCTGCTGGAGAGATGTAGTAGTGCATTATAAGGATCGTGTTCTCACCCTTCTGGAGTTAAACCCAACTTCTTGCTGTTCTCTCTCCTTTASCAGCTTGGATTTCTTTCTGATTGGGTTGCCTCATGACTCAGGCCTGATCTGAACTTCCCTTCCCATAGTCTGGGCCTTGAGAGGAGAAGCAATTCACTGGGACGTGTCCTCATCCCTTCCCTTGCCTCTCTTCATTCCCATTTCCAACATTTCTCTGTTAGCCTGGAGGTTTCTTGACTGCAAACTGACTTTTTCTGTTTGCAGTCTCTCAGACAGTGATTTATTAAAAAAAAAAACAAGAAAATTTAAATTTAGATATGATGAAAAACTTCAAAAATACAAGGTTCTTGCTATGTTATACCCCTTCCTCCTCTTCCTGGGGCGCTTTCTTTGGGATCTTTATGCTGCAGAGTCTCCATAGGCACAATGCACATGATGACCAATAGATTAGTTCTTTACACTTGAAAATCCACATGAAAAGTAGCCAGGACTACTGAGGTACAAATCTCTACTGACCACCTAATAAAATACCCAAGGTGTCCTTGCTACCCTTTATTGTTTGGGTTGCAAGGGTCAGTCTCTGCTCCTACCCACACCAGCCCATCTGAATTGCTTGTTTCCAACTCATTCTCCGTCCTCACGTTTATCTTTCTTATCCTGCAGGGCTCTGTGCTCTTTCTCACCATTTGACAAACTCCTGGGMAGCCTGTGGAAGGGTCGTCCAACTGGGCTGTATCAGGGAGGCCTTGGATCACAGCCCAACCCTTAGTCAGGGGTGGTTATAGGTCTATCTGGCTGTGAGCTCCCTGTAGCCATACATATATGTATATATATAAATATATATATAGCTCAGGCCAGTTGAAGGCTCATGGGGATTGCCTCAGTGCTGGAGGAGGACGTGTCCTTAGGCACTAAGCCACTTCTGCTCTGCTTCTTYGTCACCTTGAGGGACCTGCCTTCATGATACTGGTTTGGAAGAGCCTTGCTTTGAGTCASGTTAGCAGATATGGTTAGAACCACCACTCCTCTGCAACTAGAAAGAGCGTTCTCCCTCAACTGCATGCAAATATCAGAACCCTGGACATACCAGGGCCTTTATCTCTGCACCAGGGCAAGTGAGATCTCTTGTATTCTCCCCATAATGTTGGCTCTGTGGTCCCCCTTCCTKAGAGCCGCTGTGGAGGCTCTGCTCTTCCTTTGCCTTTCATTCATTTAGTGGTTGCTCCTCAGCCTGGAAGAGTCGCTGACGGGGTGAGGGCAGGATGAAGGCCTATGAAATATTGTCATGGAGAAGCTAAGGAACAGTTATGTGCTCTGTGTCACACCTCAAGAATCAAAGAGCACCACATGAAATTATCAGGTGGCCACTGAAGCAAAAAGAGGTGCTTTTTTTTCACCAGGTGTGCAGT